GGGTTGTGCATAGATCAAGCAACACAAGATATAATTAATGGCAATTGATTGTGCTGAAGGTAACACATTGAATGATGCGAGCCAAGATAATGTTACTTATCTGTGCTCTTGGATTTTTGATTGACAAAAGAATCAAGAGTAAACAGGAAAGAGGGCGGTCACCAGAACCAGATAAACTACGATCTTATCAAGTGGCAGCCCAGGCTTGAGAGTTCAAATGGCTGACTCCTGCTCCAAATTCTTATGCTGAACATGCTTTAAAGAGAATGAAACATTGTTGCGTTATAGTATATAGTGTATCATTGTGAACACAGCATACAGGACCCATAGCAAGTCCCATAATGTCTGTTGCTATGAGGTAGCGATTCTTTATTCCTAATGCTAACAACTTCTGTAAACCAGAATTAAAACAATTGTGACATCTTAAATTTGTGCAACATTTTATAACTTTCTAAACCTTAAGAGATATATAGCAATTTTAATTTGTAAAATGGTACAAGTTTAACAATGAGACGGAGCGATGACTTCCAGCTGGGAAGCTGCCCTGCTTAGTAACAAAGGAGGACCAGCTGCCTGTTCCCTCAAGGCCTCTATGAGAAGACAAGGTCTTTGATCTTTCTTGCGGTCCCTGCCAGTGATGAATTTCAGTACAGCTGTGAGATGCGATCTGATGTACCATGGATCTAGGAAAGGGTGGAAACAGCAACATCTGGCACTCTCCTTTAACGGAGCATTAATAACTAGCAAGTGAGCAGATATTAGAATGGTTGTGGACTATATCTCCAGTCTTTGGCAGATCTCCTGTTGTTGCCACAATGGTGCAGTAGGCTAGTATTTCCATCACCATCTATTCATGTGGGGCGAGAAAGGGGAGGTTTGGTTTCATTCCCCCACTCCATCTATGCCACTGCAATTTGCTATCACATGGGGTCCTTGTCCTTGCTCAACCAAGACAAGGGAAATGATTGGGCTTGTATCTTCAGTTTAAAGGAGCTAGCTGCCATGCATTTAGCAGGGGTGAGAGGTGCTGTTCAATATGTTACTCAGATTTTTCCAAATGAGTGTAATGGAAGGTTTCAGCAACAGCATTATCAAGCAGGTACCTGCTCACGGATGCCCATTTTGTGTTCTGCCAGGGCCACTCAGCTTCTGACCTCATTGCAGCCTTGATTCAAACATGGACAAAAAGAACTGAATTCCAGATGTGAGGTGGGACCCTTGTCATCAAAGACACATCTGACTGAGTATGGCATCACAAAGTCCTAGCAAAACTGGAATTAATGGTATACAGCAGGCCAGGCAGCACCAGAGGAGCAGGAAAGCTGACGTTTCGGGTCAGGACCCTTCTTCAG